GGAACTGACGGAAGAGGTTTCAACAAACACATACGATGCTGGAAGCGCTCACTCATCTATGCCAAGAAATTTGGAAAACAACTATCTGGCAAACTGACTGGAAGCCAAAAAACCAAACCCATTGCCATCGAGTCAATTCTGACTCACAGAGAACCTACAGGACAGAGCAGAACTGCCTCATAGGGTTTCCAAGGAGCGTCTGGTGGATTCAAACTGCCGACCTTTTGGTTTTAGCAACCGACTGGAAGAGATCCATATTTGGGCCTATTCTAAAGAAAAGCATTCCAAAGATGTAGTGAAACTCATGTGCAACTGTCCACTACAGATTAGTAAATAAATACAATTCAGCCTGTGTGTACCTTGCTTTCTGTAAGCCTAAGTGTACCTTGCTTACTGGTTAATCGGTCCCTGGTTGTTCATAGGGTGGCTGTGAGTTGGAACCGACTGGATGGCACCTAACAACAATAACAGCCCTGTATGTTAATCTCTTCTTATTCTTCTCTCTAAATTAGTGTGGAGCAGTTATACATCAGAATAATCTGGAGGGCTTGTTAAAACCTAAATTGCTACCAGAGACTGATTTGGTAGCTCCACAATGGGATCTAAAAATTGCATTTCTAATACTTCCTGGGTGATACTGATGCTGCTAGTCTGGGAATCACTTTGAGAACCACTGATCTAAATCATTGTAAGCCTGGTTGCACATTAAAATTACCTAGGCAGCAAAGTTTTCAAGAATACCCAATGCCTTGCCACACCAGACCAGTTGACTCAGGAAATCTCTGATTTTCTGGGGCCTGGGCATTTTATGTTTCAAAAGCAGCCCTGGTGATTCTAATGTGTAGCCAGAGTTGAGAATCTGGGCTTTGGGGTGAAATGTACTCTTTGCCAGCTTGCACAGATCAGGATATCAAAGCAGTTTATCAGCAGCTGCCAGACATTCTAGCCACCCTTCCCAAATGTGGTTTGGGGGCTGCACAGTTTTTGTTTTTTTTTAATATAGTGCTTTAGGTGAAAGTTTACAGCTCAGGTTAATTTCTCATACAAAAAATTTATACACATACTGTTTTGTGACATTAGTTAAAATCCCCACAATGTGACAGCACACTCCTTTTCCCACCCCGGGTTCCCTGTGTCCATTCGACCAGTTCCTGTCCCTTCCTACCTTCTCATCCTGCCTCCAGACAGGAGCTGCCCATTTGGTCTCATGTATCTGATTGAACTAAGAAGCACACTCCTCACGTATATTCTTTTATGTTTTATAGTCATGTCTGATCCTCGTCTGAAGAGTTGGCTTTGGGAATGGTTTCAGTTCTGGGTTAACAGAGTGTCCGGGGGCCATAGTTTTGCGAGTTCCTCTAGTGTCTGTCAGACCATTAAGTCTGGTCTTTTCACATGAATTTGAGTTCTGCTATGCACTTTTCTCCCGCTCCGTCCCGGACTCTCTGTTGTGTTCCCTGTCAGGGCAGTTATTGGTGGGGATTGCACATTGAACTGACCCAGGTGCTTGCTGAATTGCAGGCTCCTGTGTCTTCTGCTCTGAATAGCCCAGGGCTGCAGGGTGGCACCTCCTGTGCCAGTGAGTGGCAGTTTCTGGAGGGGAGTTTGGAATTTGTGCTATCAGCAAGGTTACAAAAGACTCGCAGGGAGTTTCCCACAGCCTGATAACTGGGAGGGCAGCCTGAGTCACAGCAGGTTCACATCATTCTTTGGCAAGTAAGAGCTAGTCTGTCCATACTGGGGGATCAAGAGATCACTCTAGATTTTCAAAAGAATGGCAGGAAGTAAATATTTCATATTGATTTCTCCAACATTTTCTTATTTAAGCCACAAACAGCAACCAGTTCAAGGCTGGACCCTGGGTGGTGCAAAGGGTTAAGCACTCGACTACTAACCAAAAAGGTGGAAGTTGGAGTCCACTCACAAGGCACTTGGGAAGAAAGTGCCGGAGACTACTTCTGAGAAATCAGCCATCGCAAATTCTATGGAGCACAGTTCTACTCTGACACACAAGGGGTTGCTATGAGTTGGAATCGACTCTATGGCAATTGGTTTTAAGGTCATAAGCCAAGGAGGTGGCAGAACTGTGACCTGACCCTGGGAACTGCTTGACTCCAAAGATGAGGGCCCCTGCCACCTCCCCACTTCTGACTCTGGTGCTGCAGAAACTACAGAGGCTACATAAATTGCACGGACCAGTGGAAAATGAGAATTTGGGGCTTCTTGTTAAAAAATTGGAGACCTGGTGACACAGAGGTTAAGAGCTTGGCTGCTAACCAAAAGGTCAACAGTTTGAATCCTCCAGCGGCTCCTTGGAAACCCTATGGGGAAGTTCTACTCTTTTATAGGGTCCCTGTGAGTTGGAATTGACTTAATGGCAACGGGACTGTTTTTTTGGTTTGTTAAAAAATGAAGAATTTCAGGATACTGACAGCAGAACGTAAAACTAAGCCTGGGGCCCTTCTAAGCCTGGGACCCTGTGTGACTGCGCAGGTCGTGTACCTGTGAAGCCAGCCTGATGCTATGTGTTACTTCCCGGGAACTTCTTATCAAACACTTTGATCAAATATGAAAGTCTGCTCAGAGGCATCCTGGTGGAGCAGTAGAAGGGCCAGGTCTGAACACAGGGATTCTGGATTCTAGTGATAGCTCTGTGACTAACTTCCTGTTGACCTTGAGCATGTATTGAACATTTTGGAGCTTCCGTTTACTCATCTGTAAAATTTAGAGAGAGGAGTAGGGAGGTGGTACTCCATGTCTCCTGAACTTTAGCTTTTTGTGTATTAAGTTTCTAGCAGAGCGGACCCCGAGTTCTAATCTTAGCTCTGCTATACCCTAATTATGTGATCTTGGGCAGGTTACTTAACCTCTGCGTACCTCAGTTTCCTCGTCTGTGAAATGGGAACTGTTGTGAAAGTTCATTCATTTACTCTCTAAATGCAGCCCACGTATCAATAATGGGATGGGCACCACACTATGGATAACATTGTACTAGATGATATTGAGGAGCCCTGGTGGCACAGTGGTTAAGAGCTATGGCTACTAACCAAAAGGTAGGCAGTTTGAATCCACCGGCTGCTCTTTGGAAAACCTATGGGGCGTTTCTGTTGTCTTATAGGGTTGCTATGAGTTGGAATTGACTCGACAGTAATGGGTTTTTAGATGATATTGAAGGCCCCTTCCAGCTTTACTAGTCTATGAATGAAAGAAAAAACCTATGTGTATTTGTGTGTATACCTGCATTCGTTTGACAACTATGTTATGTGACAACATTTATTTGACTAAAATGTTTCTACCTGCTTTGGTCACTTCTACCCATAGTAGAATCTTTCCAGTGGTTAGCTACATATTCTAGTGGAATAATGCTTAAGCAGAGAAGAGAGATTATGAATAAATCATATAAATGTTTAAAACCTTGATAAGTCAGTGCAGTCCTTTCAAGAAATCTCTCTAAAGTATAACAAAGGCTGAGGTGTAGAGTAGTGAAAAATTGGGACAACATGGTTGCAGGAAGGCACAAGATGGCCTTCAGAGGTGTGAAATCCACTGGAAGACACCTGCCCTTTCCTTTGATCACTAGGGTTTTTCCTACTTCTCTCTATCTATGCCTTACCTTATAGCCCTAGTTCGATTTCTACCTCCTCAAAGTCCCCTCGGCTATTCTGCCTGAAAATTTCTTTTTTCTCCTTTGAAGGGAACTTAATAGTCATTTGGCAAGTATTTATTGAGCACATACTATGTTCCAGGCACACCCATATCCCTGACCTCAAGGAGTGGATGGGCTACTAAACAATAAGTCTCTATAATGCCTTTACAGCGTAGTTTATACATGTGTATTTGTCTTGCCTCTCCTAAAGGCAGGGACTATTTATTATATTACTTTCCTATTCCTCAAACCACCTAGGGTCCTCATTAGCTAAGAATTTGTTATCAAGTTTACCAAGTTATATACCAAAACCAAACCTGTTGCTGTCAAGTTGATTCCAACTCATAGCGACCCTATAGGACAGAGTAGAACTGCCCCATAAGTTGTATGGGGAGCATAAAAACAGTGATTAAGGAATTTTAAAATTAGTCTTCCCCTAAACATTCTTCCCAAGTTATCACAAGCTGCAACCCCTGGCCATCTCATAAACATCAGTAATTGTCAGACATGATAAACATATAATGCAAATACAATATAAATTGGCCACAGTGTAAAATTGGAAATATTGGAAAAGGTACAGGACTTCTTGAAGTCAATGAAAGAGATGTTGGAGAACAGTTCGAATTCACACCCAAAGCTGTGGACAATTGGGGATCTGATAGAGTCACATCAATTATTAACAGAAGCAGAGAAGATCAATAAGGATTATGAGATGATGGGAACTTCACAAGAGAATGATTGAAATATCAAAAGATGAAGAAAGGATCTTGGCGAAAATTGAAAAACTCTTGAATATTTTATAAGTCAAATATGAAGGAAGGAATGTTAAATGGTGCCATGATGCAATATCATCAGAAAAAATTATGCCAAAAAATCCACACTTTATTCACACTTTGTTCATTTTACAAATCAGAGCATGGTTGCTATTTTAACTTAATTTTGTCAAGGGCAGGATCAAATACATTTTTAGTTTCTAAGTTAGAGTTCCAATCAACCTCCTTCCCCTTCTCCCCTGCTTTTACTATGCTATTTTTGTCCCCCTTTTATGTGGATTCACTTTAAGTGGACTTTTTCTGATACTAGTTATCTTAATATATGAAGAGCTTCCAGTAATAGTACTGATTGAAGTGATAGATTGATCAGCATAATTCTTCCAGAGCCAATAACCAAGACCATAACAGGCAGAAAGGGGACAACTGGCTTTATAGATTCTAATGTAGAAAGCAAGGGTCCATAGAACCAGCCAGTTATATTTTAGGATGGAGGTGCCTAGTCCAGCTAGGAGGTAATTTTGGGATCAGCCTGTTCAAGGCCTTGAAAGGGAACTCTCAATATTTCAAAAGAAGTTGCTTACCTACAAAGCACCAGACCGCAAACCGGATCCAGGTGATGGTGGAGAGCTTTAGCATGAGATAGATGTTCACCAGCATGGCAAAGGCAGGCACAAAGGGGAGGCAAGGGGCCATGTAGGGCAGCTTCTTGGGGTTCTCTGGCTGCTGCAGGATCACAAACACCAGGGCGCTAATCAGCAGCACCATCAGAACAACCAGAAGGATGGCCCACCAGCTATGCTCTGAGATATAGTCGGAACCGAAGATGATAAAGGAGCAGAAGATGAACATGAGGATGAAGAGCAGGAGCACACAGATGGTCACTGTGTGCCCCGTGGCTGCTGTGGGTCGGTCCATTTTGCCTGGAAGGCCCAGCCGGATCCTCATGGTGTAGTAACGGGGACCAATCAGTTTCTTCAGTTTGATGAGATAAATGTTTTCAGATTCATCAGCTTCTATGCCTGTAGTTATGTCCACAGTGCCATAGTTAGGGTGGTTGACATTGTAGGCTGACTTGTCTGATTTCCCTATGAGCATCTCATTATCTCCCAAGGATGGTAAGTTCTTGGCCCCACATGTGTTGGTGGCTGGACCGGAAAACTCTTCCCCTTCACTCACAGGAGAACAAACTTCCTTCTCACAGTCAGCCAGAATGCCCTCCTTCTTCTTTGTGTGCTCCTCAGACAAGAACTTTACAAAACCATCAATGTTACTCTCTGGTTGGTATCGAAGGAGCAAGACGCACACAGAGACCAAGGTGTAGGCAAGTAGTGTGCCGATGGACATCATCTCTATCAAGTCCCTCAGGCTGACCAACAGCGAAAGGAGAGCTGCCAGGAACCCCGACACAATGCAGGCCACCACTGGCGTCTCTGTGTAGGAGCTTACATGAGCCAGGAACCTGGAGAGAGGTGCAAGAAGAGAGTTAATGGTGGCTGCACATTGTGATGGTTACAGATGGTGATTGATTCCAGTATGGCTTAACTTGAAGTCCTCCTCCTCCAAATTACTTCTCAAGTCACTACATTAAATATATACAGTTGTTCTCCTATCCCAGAATTTGGTTCCTGGAAGAACAAGATAATTCAAAAAGAATTTACTTTAATTTCTTAGTTTTGAGGCAGACTTCTTTATTGAAGTTCCTACTTCAATATGTGATGTGAAGGATTGATTGAATCTAGAAGGAATGTTAGAGATCTAAATTGAAGCCCAGGGTTTGCCATGAAGAAGTGATGGTCCCAGGAAGTCATACACCTGCTTGGGGGTTCTCTGGACATGTGTTATCCAAAGTATGGGGTCCAAGGCTCAGCAGCATCAGCAGCTTCCAGGAGAACTTGTTAGAACTATGGATCCTCAGGTTTTACCCCAGGTCTACTACATCAGGATCTCTGGGGGTGGGACCTAGAATACTATGTTTTAAAAGACCTCCAGGGGATTCTGATGCCTTCTAAAGCCCAAGAATCACTGCTGTACAGCAAAAGTATAGGGATTTAGTTGGCAAAATAGCACAGTCATTAAGAACATGCTTTTACAGAGGCAAGCTCAAGTCCAGCTAGTTACCAACTGAAGAAGAAAAAACCAACATGGGTGATTAAATGGCAGGCACATTTTTAGCAGTTTCAGTAGGCCTCAAGTAGGCTCGCCTCCCCTTCTCTCTCTCCTCCTGGTCTTCCTCTCTTTCTCCTTTTCTGTTCCTCTCTTATTTTCATGATTCACCCAAGGCTATAAACTCTGCTTGGAGCACAAGGATCTTTTCTCTTTATTTTCTTTGACAGCAGAAAAACCTTTTGGATTTGTGAAATTGTCATACCTCCCCCACCCTCGTCCTCTTCTTGATCTGTCCATCTTCCCAAACACAACAGCTCTGACCTGGTGATGACTTCAGGGTGTGTGGGAAATAACAATTGGGGAAGAGGAAATGGAGCAGAAGATGACTGCCTCATTGATAAAGTCCCCGAGCTGGCTCTCTCTGCACCCTTAAGGACCCCTTGGCCTCCCTGGTATACTTCTTGCTTTGTGTACTTAAAGAAGGCCTTTCCTGCAAGCCTCTCACACAGTGGGGACTGGGAACCAAGAGACAGGGCCACATCCCCTTTGTACCTACTGTTGGCAGATAGATCACTTCATGGCTAATGTAGGGGGCTGGAATTGTTAATACACTGACATGGTTAAAATGATTTCAGAGTCATTTTTAGGGGCTGGAACTGTTAACATATTGACATGGTTAAAAGTTTAATCTTTGGAGTCAGACAGTTCTGGAGAACTTGAGGCAAGTGTTTCCACCTCTCTGAGTCCTAGTTTACTCATCTGCAAAACAGAGTTATCATAAGGAGTAAGTGGGATTCTGTATACAAAGCATCCCACAGACATAAATGTTCAGTAAATGGTATCAATGATCATGAAGATGGCACAGGATCGGGCAATGTTTTGTTCTGTTGTGTATGAGGTTGCCATGAGTCTGAGCTGACTCAACTGGCAACTGACGAGAACAACATTGTTGCTGCTATTATAAGGTTTTGTTCAGAGAGTCTTAGCCCCTGTCTTATTGATGCAGTTACCACCCAATGTAAGGGCAGGCCTAAGAAATCCCTGGGGTGGGCTCTTCCATCCCAAGGCCACCAGTGCAGCAATTTGGCACCCACCATCTTCACAAAAGAGCTCACAATGTCAAACAGGATGGGAAGGGGCAGTTGGGGAACATAGCAGTTTGTGCTGAATTGAGGGACTCAGAGTCAAACCAAGGGGCTCTTTCAGGGTCTGAGCTCATTTCACTCAAATCCTTTGCCAGGATGTATAACAAGTCCCATGGTCTATGTGAAAGGCACTCACATCAAATTATAGTCAAGCCGACAGCAGATGATATCCTCCCTGGACAGGTGTGACAGAGCAGAATAATTTCACGGAGCATAGAGCTTACCTGAAAAGGAGCCCATCACCGGCCATGGCATAAATGACCCTCGGCATTGGGAAGAGGGAGCCCAGCAAGCTGACTGTCAGTCCTGCCACTGATCCAATGGCCACTATGAATTTTGCAGCATAGAACCCATGGGCTACAAACATCTCCATAAGTGGGGATTCCGTGTCAATGGCATAATATGGCACCATCAAAGTTAAGATCATGCTCACCTGTTAAAATAAGAGAAGACATGGCTGGCAGTAGAGGAGGCTGACAGCATGGATGGATGTCCCACAGGGGCGGACAGAGCCCTGGACCTGGAGTCAGAAACCTGCAGGGCAGCTTGAACCTACTACTTCCTGGTATGTGCCTTAAATGTAGACCAGTCATTTGGCCTTGGGGCGCTTGGCCTCAATATTTTTTCCCTAGATGAGAATTTAGTAGACTGGACCAGATAATCTCTAGTATCTCTTTGTGGCCCTTTGTTATCAGAGGAATAAATCTGAAGACATTTCAGCCCCATAAGGCAGAGCTATGCTGACAGTCCAAAGGAAAGAGATGTTACCAGGTGCAGGGAGCACAGCCAATGGCACTGGGGCCAGGCCCTGCTATTGACCGTGAGCACTCTGCCCACAGGGACAAAACTGTCATTTCTTTTATACTTTAATGGTCCTACAGGATCTTATCTGTATTCCTTCCCACTCTGAAGATCAGAGATCAAAACTCCCCAAATCAGGCTTAGGTGGTTAGCCTGAGGACTGGGGTTGTTGGCCGGGCCGCAGCCAATTAACTGATGGGACCCAGATGAGGATTCCTATTTCCATTTCATCTTGGAAGCTTAGTCCTAGGAGCTAGAAAGGCCAACAAACAAATTGTGGCCTCAGGATGGAGTCCAGTCCTACTCTGGGTCTGTAAGACCACTGTGGTTTTGCTCAACCAGGGTCACTTGGCTACAGGCTGTCAGGACATATCTCCCTTCTTACATCACAGATCTACCATAACAACCCTCCCTTCAGAATTCGCCTAGGCAACGGAGTCAACAATCATATGGGGTCCCCCAGGTCTGGGAAGGCCATTCTTGTCATCAAGAAGGAAGTTCAGAGCCTGAAAGGGAGAGGGTGGTGCCTTTCTAGACCCCTCTCTTGCCTATTGCTCAAGAGCCAACATCCTTTAGTGAAGCCATGGGCCGAGACGGAGGATAGCAGCAGGAGGCACCGCCACAGCCCAGCAACTGGGCTCTTCGCATGCAGGTGGACTGGCCTGCTGACCAGCACTAGACCAAACAGCCCCTGAGGTACGGAGTCTAAAAGAGAATGTTTCCCAACAGCATCACCACTTGCAACTTCATCGTTGGGGGTGGGCTAGGGTGGTCTGCAGGACAGTGGGACTGATTCTAATAACAACTTGCCCACAGAGTGTGGGATGGTTAAGTGTCGGTAAATGCATGGAAGTACTCTGCAGGCTGTAAAACACTATTCAAAGGAAGGAATTGCAATTATGGACTTTTGTTGTGTGTACAGCAAGGTTCAACTCCCCAGAGGAAGGGAAGGTGTAAGGAAGGAGTAGAAGGAACAATGCAGGCAGAGTGCCTGGGCTGGTCCTGGCCATCCCTCCCTGCACTCCCTGCAGAGATGATCAGGGTCTGGATGAGATGAACCAGGTGTATGTAGGTACACAGGGCAGGTGATAACTGACCCACCCATAGAAAGCTTGGGAAGGCAACTGGATTTCTATAAACCACATCCAAGGCTGCCCTCTTGTTTTCCTTTGGCTTCTAGGACAGTCCTTTTTTGCAGCTTGCTTTAAAGAGCAATTGGTCTACCTTCTTAAGGTGGTTTCTAAATTTTTTGTTTTGTTTTGTTGGGGGATGGTGGCGGGAAGAGGTGCCTCCCTCATGCTATGGCAGGGCTGACAAGCCCCACCCCCAGCTGCTGGCTCTTCCCTAATCGTGGTGACCGATGTGAGTGGGACACTCAGGATCTGGGAGTGTTTGTGTAACCACACGCCTGTTGGCTAGTCAGCTGGTTCTCTCAATTGCTGGAGGCTGAGGGGGATGTTGGCTGTGACTGAGCTATTTCTGAGACAGGAATTCTGGGGTAAGGGCTGAGAGATGAAATGTCAAAAATGTGAGGAGTGTTTCAGGGGCATGATCCTGAGGAGACAAGGCTGAAGGCTTCATTCTGAGGCTTCCCTTTGGCAGGGAAACCCAAAGGGTTGAGACTGAGCTGGTGTAAGAAGAGGAGAAACAGCCAAGAGAAATTACATTTGTTCCCCTAAGACTGAAGGGGAAGAGAGTCCCTAGAGGACAATGCAGTCCCTCTCCCGACTCTGCGGGAGCCTTGCCTCTTCGCTGCAGGAAAGCTCTCAGAAGACAGAGGAGCATTGAGGAGCATGCACAGAGCCCCACAATGCCTCTGCTCACACACCCACCCGTTACTGCCAGCCTATGATCTGAGCTCCTTGGACGGAGGCCCACTCCCTGCACACCAGTCCCTGGGGTAGCCGCGGACACCAAGAGTCTGTGGGGAGGGAGGGGCAAGGGTGGAGACACTTGGAGGCCAAGGTCGAATTGGGGGCGTGGGCTTCTCCCCCTCTCCAGTCTGCAGTCCTCATTTCTTCCTGTCATCAGTGCATATGGCTACAGAAGGCATGAGACACATGCTGTCATGGATTGAATTATGTCCCCCCAAAAATGTGTGTATCAATTTGGCTAGGCCGTGATTCTCAGTGTTGTGTGGTTGTCCTCCATTTTGTGATTGTAATTTTACATTAAAGAGGATGAGGGTGGGATTGTAACACCACCCTAACCCAGGTCACATCCCTGATCCAATGTAAAGGGAGTTTCCCTTGGGTGTGGCCTGCACCACCTTTTATCCTTTGTAAGAGATAAAAGGAAAGGGAAGCAAGTGGGGAGTTGGGAACCTCATACTACTCAGAAAGCAGTTCTGGGAGCAGAGCGCATCCTTTGAACCTGAGGTTCCTGTGCTGAGATGCTCCGACCAAGGGAAGACTGATGCATCACAAGGACCTGCCTCCAGAGCCGAAAGAGAGAGAAAGCCTTTTCCTGGAGCTGATGCCCTGAATTTGGACTTGTAGCCTACTGGACTGTGAGAGAATAAACTTCTCTTTGTTAAAGCCATCCACTTGTGGTATTTCTGTTAGAGCAGCACTAGATGACTAAGACACATGCATACTAACACCAAAAAGGCACAAGCAAAGGACCATTTCCTGATGAAGAAGGGAGCACAGTGTCAGCCCCACATTTTAAGGTTAAATATAAAGGGCCATGAGGAGGATCCTGTGCAATTTCCAAGCATTTGATACTTACAGATACATATGCTGTCAGGCAGATGAGCAGGGAGGCGGTGATAGCATAGGGGATGGATGTGTTGGGATTCTTGGCTTCCTCTCCAGTGGTGGCGATGATGTCAAAGCCAATGAAAGCGTAGAAGCATGTGGCTGCTCCTTGCAGCACCTGTGTGGATGACAGCATTTGTCAGACTCAGAATGTCAGGGCAACGTGGGCCTGAAATGTGGTACCCACAATTGTCCAATGCCCTGCTGACATGGCTGGTGGCAGAGGGGGTGCCACAGGCTAACATGGTGACACAAGTGCTTAACCCACAAGTTCTGATTTCCTTGCTTTCTAGCTATGTGACCCTGGACAATTCCCTCATGTAGGAAATGAAGATAAGAAGAATTATGGCCAAATAAAAACTGAGTCATTCAACAAATTCAAATCCTTTTTGGAAATAAACCAAAAAACTAAACCAGTTAGCCCATGTGTCAAAGTAGAACCGTGCTCCATACAATTTTCATGGCTGATTTTTTGGAAGTAGATTGCCAGGCCTTTCTTCTGAGAAGTCCAGCTCTGAACGGACTTCAACCTCCAACCTTTTGGTTAGCAGTGAGTATGTTAACTGTTTGCACCACCTAGTGAATAAATGAGGTATAAATAAATCAATAAGTTGGCTATCTGTATTTTTTTGAGAACTCATTAACCTCTTTGTACTTTATTTTCATTCAGTGGTTCTCAGCCTCAACCACAGGCTGTTTGCAAATGTGGGGAGTTAGTTTTGATAGGTCATAAAAATATGGGGTGAGCAATGCTGGCATTTACAGTAGAAGGCCCAAGATGCTTCTGCACAAAGAATTGTCCTGCCCCAATTACCAGTAGTGCCCCTAATATGGTAACTACCAGAGTTGAAATGATATAAAAGATTTTTAGATCTTCAGATAGTCTACTGTCTTTAGTGAGAAGACTGGGTAGGGATAGAATTTAATTTTTCTGCTCCTTTTGGGGGCTTGACTGACCTGGTTGGGCTGTGAGGCAGGAGCAGTGTCAGTGTACCACTGGGAGGTGGCACCCAGTAACCTCTGCCTGCATGTCTGTCTGACAGGAGCCCACATGACTCCAAGGGGGATTTGGACTTTAAACCAGGGCTTCGAGTCATTTCTTCCCAGTTCAGTAATGGCTGAGGAGGTGAAATGAGAACAGACTCGAATTTCTAAAATTTGAGTGAGCCAGAACGATAACTGGAATGGGAAAAATTACAGGTTGAAGCCCTGCTAGAAACCTAATCTCCCTCTTAGAAAACAAGGGCAGCATACACATTGCATAGCAATCAAATCTCTTGCTCGCCAGATTTTGAGCAGAGTTGGAAACAGCAATGCGTTGCTTAAAGATGTGTGCCTGCTTCCAATGTATGTCGCTCTCCACAGTCCTGCCAATAATCCAATCTCACGCATCAGGCTCCTGAAAGGGCTCACTACGCCTCTTCTGAGTCTCTCATTCCACGGCTTCCACCGGTAATTTTTACCATTCTGGTTATCATTCCAGATCACCCAAATTGTAAAAATTCGTGTACTGGTTTCACTTAGTCGGCCTTCACCGAACTGGTTCAAACCGGTTCAAAGCCCTGCTTTAAAAGTCAAGATGTCAGTGAAAATCTTTGATCAAGGAATGTGTTACTTTATACTAAAGAATTTATTGAAGTTTAAATGAGGCTTCCCCACAATGGGATGCTTATTATCCACTGAAAATTAAAAAGTGCACCTCTTTGACTGCTTAGGGAAAGGAAGGTAAGACGCATTTTTCTGAACTTAAGTGTATAAGGTGAGGTGACTTGGCAGCAAGCCAGCTCGAGTCAGGGATCCAGGTGGGATTCACTCTAGACAGTGGACTGTGTTTTTTCTTTTCTCCACATTATTGGTTTATAAATGTTGAAATTCAAAACATTTACCAAGCAAATATTTGTCCCCAAAATTTCACTCTCACTGCCCCCAGTCATTTCTCAGTAAGTAAAAGACCAAATACGAAATACTAGAATCACAAGGTACATCACAAAATCGAACTCTCAAAACTTCAAAAGCAACATTTGCTCATCTGTACAATGAGTTGGTCTCTCTTACAGTCCCTCCCAATTGGGCTTCATTTCCTTAATTCAGTGATTCTTATCCTGGGGTCCATGGATTTCAGAGGGTCTGTGAAATTTGCTGGGAAATATTACATCTTTATATTATCTAAATTTTAACTGAATGTTAGCATTTCTTTCAGCTATGAATGTAGATGGCTAACAGTATCTGTGATTTTGTCACCAGTAGCTATTAGATATCTTCGTATCACATGTTGCAGAAATATTGAAATACTTATGCTTATTGCTACTTCTAAATTATGATAGTTATTAGACATAGATGTTAATATTTAATGCACTAATAAAGAGGCACATTATTATATCATAATTTTAAAATATTTTGCTAACTATATTTCAATATAATTGATTTCTTTTGAAACCCTATGTAATTAAATTAATCATTTAAAAAATACAATTCTCAGAAGGATTCCATAGGCTTGACCAGACTGCCAAGTGGTCCATAATACCAAAAAAATTAAGAACCCCTGATCTATTTTAAATAACTCGAGTAGAAAGATCTTCTCAAATGTAAGCAGCTGTATCTCCAGAAGGCTATTTTCTGGAAAAGGAGATAAATCCCATTTTCACTTCAAAAAAGTCCTTCATTTCAGGGTATGGATGGTATGGTTGGCCTCCAGACAATGAGAGAAAACAGATCTCACTTCGTCGTACATGGAGGTTCATGGGCTTAAAAATGTGCTTATTTTTCACTTGTCTAGAAAATGTTTCTGGTCTTCAAGGATGAACAGATTGTTAGGATTGCAGGCTTACTAAACTGTCCCGATCAAGAAATGCTTTGCTTAAAGATAGATTCCAGAAAACACGTTCTGTTTCTTTGCTTTTAACACACACACACACACACACACACATTGGTGCACGCATTCACATACACACACACACATTCCTCTTCTAAATCATCCATTGACCTGAATGAAGATGCATCACTGCCAATTCAGGATGACCCAGGGCTACAACCCCATTACTACTTGTTGCGGTCAGCTCTGCATACAAAGGCCACAGACACTGGAAGAGCCAACTCACTGCTGAGTGAAGGAGGGTGGGAGGGTTTTACAGAACTCTGGGGAAAATTTCCCTTAGAAAAAGGTGATAGGTCTCTGATCCATGCTATGTGAGGAATGATAGGGGACCTGGGGATGTTTAACTTGAAGAAGAGAAGACTCAGTGGAGGACATGGGCCAAACCAAACCCATCGCCATCAAGTTGATTCCGACTAATAGCAACCCTATAGACAGAGTAGAACTGCCTCATAGGGTTTCCAAGACTGTGATCCTTACAGAAGCAGACTGCTACGTCTTTCTGCTATGGAGCAGCTGGTAGGTTTAAACTGTCAACCTTTTGGTTAGCAGCCGAGCACTTAACCACTGCACCACCAGGGAGGACGTGGAGGACACCTTCAAATATTTGAAGTAGTAACAGTGTAGTAGTTGGGGTAGAGGTCCACTGTAGGGCTGCAGAGGGAATCCCAGAGCCATGCACGTAGGCTGTGCTAGGTTGTAGTGCGGAGTGCAGGCTTTGTAGCCTGACAAACCTAGGCTGGTTCTGCCACATACTAGCTTGGTGACCTAGGACTAGTTCTTAATCTCTTGGAGATTCAGTTTATTACTTAAATGGAGATAATAATAGTACATAGCTCAGGGCCTGTTACAAGGATTAAGTGAAATAATACAGCAAACTGTAGTCCTAGAGTACAGTAGGTGCTTAATAAATGTCAGTTTTTACCAGTAGGTGCTTAATAAATGTCAGTTTTTACCAGCATTATTATTATTATTGTAAGTTTTTTCAGAGCAGATGGAAAGAAGCACAAATTCTTATCTATTATTATTATAGAACCCAACGCATATTTATCAATTGCTACCATGTGCCAGGAACTGTGTTTGGTAATGGGAATACTGTAATGAGCAAAATGGACTCTGATCTTGACCTCATGGGGCTTGGAATCTGGAGAATATTGGAAAACCCAAAATGTAACCTTGACTGTGGTAATAAGCAGCAGAAGATTAATACATGTCTATATTTTTTGTAAAACACAAAAGGAAACTCATTTTCTAAATGAACGAAAGAATAGATGGCAATTACTAATAATGATTAGATACCAGAAAGCTAACTACGATCAAACTGGGAAGAGAAGGAATAGGCTTGCAAAGAAAAAGTCTGTTAGTCTGGATTTGCATATGTAGAACTACAAATCAATTATGGTTGAAGAAAGACTGGATAGACCAAAGGTGGGAGGATACTTGATAGGCCTACTTCTTTAGGCAGGAAATAATTCAACTCAGGTGGTTCAAATGAAATGATTTCAATGAAGGAACTACAGGCAGCTATAGGTGGAGGGATAGGCAAGGGTAAAGGCAGGGTTAAGGGAGTCAACGAGGGACGTGGAGGCATCAGAGACTAATAACAATGAGAAGTTGTTGTCATCCCTAGGCCTACAGGTGAAGAGCGGAAAGGTGTTCCTAGAGTCCAGTGACAGCTGGAGGTGTAGAGCAGGGGCTACCCAGATGGAGCTGTATTCTTGGAGGGACACAGCTAGTGCCAGAGACATGGTGCCAAGGCTGGAAGGGATAAAGAAGAAATACTCAGGCCTTTCTCTCTTCTTACTTTCTGATCTCCTGTTAATATCTCCCATAGGCTAAACCTAACAAGAAGCAATCAGCCAGGGGTCTTTTTATTATTTTTTTTAAATTGTCCTTTAGGTGAAAGTTTACAGCTCAAGTGAGTTTCTTATACAAAAATTTATACACAAATTCTTATGTGACTCTAGTTGCTATCCCTATAATTTGATAGCACACTCCTCCTTTCCACCCCGGATTTCCCATGTCCATTCAACCAGCTCCTAAGCTTCTCTGCCTTCTCATCTCACCTCTGGACAGGAGCTGCCCATTTAGGCTCATTTATCTACTTGAACTAAGAAGCACACTCTTCACAAATATCATTTTATGTCTTATAGTCCAGTCTAATCTTTGTTTGAAGAGTTGGCTTCAAGAATGGTTTTAGTTCTGGGTTAACAAAAAGTCCAGGGGCCATGTCTTCTGGGGTTCCT